CAGATTTGATCACGGACCATAGCTGAAGAATTTCCGCTGGGGGAGCACAGGTCATTGGAATGCCCTATCGGGTCATCCAAACACACCCTGCTAATTTATTAGGCAAAGCCAACTAATGAGCTGCTCCAATGTTGAAGAAAAATGCTCGAGAAGAATTTTGCTAAGATTAAACACTGTCCGCCTTGTCGTCAAAAACGTAACAAGTTCATGCGCAGGCTTGACCTGGGGCACCACAATCTGATGACTTATATAGTAGGATTCCTTCTTTAGGGGGCAAAAGGTACGATAAATGCTGCTGTCCAGTTCTCATCTGTGACAAACTCAATTGTTCACCAAGGCTATTATATACGAAAGACGTCCTTCTGATGCCGTGGGACGGTTTTGTAAAATTGGCGCACTGTCAGTTTTGTTCAATCTTTCAGGGAAAACTTAGAGGTGGCCACTGTGGCACAAAAAGGCGGATAATACACACGTTCATGCACAGTCGTTTTTGATCTTCTGCTCAATGATGGATAACAATCGTGCTCATAATAAACCGACTTCTCAGTTGATTTGGTAAGTATCCTGACATCTTTTGTTGTGATGTTTCCGTCATTTAACCTGTTTCTACCTGTAGAACTGTTGCATACGAGTCTCCTCTCCAGTCCAAATTTGTAGCGGATCTTTTACCAGTGTCGCTTCTCAGGGTACTTGCAGCAACCGATTACGACAGAGTTTTTGATTGCTTCAACAGAGTCCCACTCCAAATGTGCTCTCCTGAGTACGAGATTGGAATGATTTCCTGGCGCAATTAATTTTCTGGCGGAGATTCAAATCCAGAATAAGTGGAATAATTTACCCACAGTTAAGCTCCGCCTGAGTTAAACCAACAAATTGTGCTTCGCAAAAACAATCACTTAGTCTTTCAAACTGACCGGAAGTGGTTTTACGCCCAAAGTAGGCGAGAGCGGGGAAATGCGTTGTGCATCCAGGCCACGCAAGATACTGTGAATACTGATACTGTGGACTGCTTGTAGTTGAATAGGAGGCTGTCAGTATAACGGCTTCTTACGGGTGGCATGAAATGGTGACAGCTGCGTTGTGAGGTTACTGAAGCTTCAGCTGGCTGGCCAGTTACACGCAGGTATATTAAATGAAGGAGTTTTGAAGGTTCGAAAAGTGTGGCAACCATTACATGGATGTGCATTCTACTACAGGTGTAGGATTCCGGTGTGAAATATTTTGTAAGAGACAATGATGAACTTGCGACCGCTTTCCCCAGCTATAACTGAGAAAATTTCTTCCATCCGGACAACCAACAAACTCACCTTGAGGCCCTTTGACTCTGATTGGTTGCGCTTCGTGAATTTTTCCTTCCTGTGCAACAAATATCACCAGATTCCTTAGCTAAAAATGCGAAAAATGCATCAGTTAGTTTTACTCTGGTCACTAATTTTTCGTTGCTGTTGTGGCTTTCCGCCTGCAATTCCTCAGTAAACAGCCGTCCGCAACAGTGGCGGACCGTGACCGGGCACGTAAAACATGTCCTGAAAACATGTCCCGAATACCATACGTGTGGCTCAGATGGTATCTAATAATTGCCGAATACCGATCACAAATAATCCAGTGCGTACTAGTCAAGACTTGTTATGTTAAGGTGACACACATGACCGAACACTGAATGGTGATTACAGTTTTTGGATGGAGGGACAAAACATCGCAGCAATGGCCCAGGGAGCCTTTACAATTGCTCTCAATTTAGCAGTCGTTGTCATCGTCATTATGCACGAATTACCTATCTTCCGAGGTACTATCAATGCCTTCACAGCCATTAAGCTATTTAATATGCAATACACGCCCAAAATCCTCCTTCGGCACAATCTTGTCGATGATGATGAGCCAGGCGCTTACCACCAAACTACCAACGAACTCGTCAAAGAATTTTACTGAGAGCGAAAGCTTTCAATGTAATTTGGTATTCAGGTATGCATTGCCTGAAGACACCCTCAATAGTCGCCGTTACAGCTCATGAAAAGTTCAAGGTGGGTGTCGCAGAACGTACCACGGCTTTGTTCTATACGCTGCGACTTGATTTCTCAGTGGAGTGTACTTTAGTGCCAGCAGCACTGATGGGCTCGGCCCGACCACAACTTGAACTGCTGAAACTCACTTCGAAGCGTGTATGCCATGGATGCTCCCAAAATTCCAAGTTCCGAGCAGGGTAAATCCCCAAAACCAGGAACCATACATTTTATGGATTTTATGTTAATATTTTTGTACAACCTTCGTGCTTCTCCCGATCTACTGCGCTCATTACGAACTCGTTCAGTTTGCTGTTCCCTTCGGGCTAATTTCGTCTCCGTTTCCCTTATCCTGACCAAGCTGGCAAGGTATATAAAACGCCATAAGCAGCTGCTTTCTGAACTGCGCATTGCTTCGCCAAACGTCCAGGATACGCTTGCTTACGGCACCTCCTTCATGCGCCTCTGTCGTGGAGCTGTCCCGCAGTATATGCCCTCCTTTTGTCCTTCCTTACCCACGTAGACTTATGCGGGACGATTAATATGTCGGATGTCTCTTAAATTGCAGATGAGCGATGTATCCTTCTTACTAGGCTGCTTGCCCGGACGCATATAGTTCCAAAACGCTGAGTTTGTCAACGATGCGGTCACCGTTTTAGATAATTCAACCCGTGAAGCATCAGCTTTTGCTTTCATCTGGCCATGTTTTTCCGGAGCTGCTCAACTAATCAGTTCTATACGAAAATCAAGTAGGGACCGATTCCGCAGCCAACTTTAAAACCAACACGTCCATAATTTCTTCCTACTTTCATCCTCGGGGCTTTGACGCACCAGGTGGCAATGACCTCTCCTTTCATGCCTTAGGGTTGTAGTGGTCTGGCTACCCAATAAGTTAATTTACCAGGAGTGTGTGGCAAATGAATAAAAAATAATAACGCCAGATTGGATATACAATAACAAAGAAGTCATATGGAACAGACTCACTAAAAAATTGTTCTCTTTAAAACAGTCCGTCGATGGCCCAGGTCAGCGAACTAGCAATTATCCGATCATAAATGTCCAGGGGTCTTCTTCTGAACGGTTCCCACATATAATAGATTCCGAAGATTGTGTGAACTTTTTTGAGCCAGAGTTAGCATGAGACGCACGAAAGACCGCTGTAAGCGCGATCGAACTCAGAAGAAGGTGTCGAAGCACATGACCAAGTTTATATTGCTCAAAATTGTACAAATGCGCGTTTTTTGTAGCTCTTGTATTCAAACAAAAAACGATTATGCAATTGACAAAATACGTAATGTCGTAATGGAGGTAAAGTAAAGGTTGAAAACACCACACTACCCAAAAGAGCGTTAACCGTGAAAAGGGAAACCACCCTAAAAATGACCGTAGTGAATCGAAAATTTACTCACTTCAAGTTTCGTAATCAGCCAAGCGCTGAGAGAAACGGACGCGTCGTCTGGAACGACCAGTGAAGGGAGTGGGGTTGGCGGTAGGGTTATTTTGGGTAGGTGGGGTGTTGATGGGAAAGCAGGATTGCTGGATGTGGTCGTGGTCGCTTAAATGAATGCAGGCTTCAGACGAACGATGGAAAAGGTATCATGCTTTCCGCTTCGCTCTAAAACGAAGTATCTGGAATGACGTTCGATAACCTTGAAGGAACCACCATAATGGTGTTGAAGGGGGTTCCTCGTTCAGTAATGTCAGACAAATACAAATGTAGTAGAAGAGAGATCAGTTAGGATGTGTCCCTTTCGCGTTGATCTCCCTGTCGGGGTCGCATAGGTTTCGGACATATGTTGGTTCAGAAGGATGACGAATGTGACGGGTGATTCGGGGTGTGCGCCGGAAGGAGAAACCAATTCGCCGAGTAAACGTAAAGTTGATCGGCTGGTGAACAGTGAAGATCCTCCTTGATAATTGTATTTTGGTCCCTACTCATGCCACCCCAGGTGTGATAAAGTCTAATTCGTTAATGCCCACCGTTTACGCCACCGTCCCTTTTCCAGGAAATTCCCAATAATCACAACCCCCATCAGTCATGCTCTTATTATGACTGTAATATTATTATCATGCCTGACGGTATGCTACACGCTAGTTGGGAAAAGATATTATCATAATTATATTAATAGCGTTTGAACCATGTTCATTACAAAATTGTTATTAGACAATTTTTTGTGATTCCCACCGCCTGCAAGCCTACTATCCTGTGCTGAGAACTTGAAGAGTAGTGCTACACCATCTTTTCGCTTGTACCCTTCAGGTGAACAGCAGCAGCGCACAATGGATTAGAACTTTCGAAAGCCACGATGTGTCGACGACGGACGAAATCAGACGGGTAACTGAGTTCAGAGTACCGCTTCAAATTTTCGATCCCCATCTAGGCATACCGGGGTTTCAGCGATGCTGGGAAAGTATAACACCAGGCTTTCGCCGCAAGACGTATTACTACTTCTATGCAAAGTGGAGGTAGGTGAGCCGTGAAAATATGACGCGCGGTAAGTTCGAAATCGGGTTCGTCATTCCCTCGTGCAAATTCGTGGAACGTTTTTCGTTGTTCAATCTATTCACGGAGTACACACGAGTAATTGTTGAATTTTATTACTCCAACAAAACATTTGAGTGATAACCC